TTTCAGCAAAGTTTTGAAAAGTGTTTTAAAGTGCATCTTTGCATCCTCATTCCATCCTAGGCATTCTTAGGCCATATTTAAGACTCTATAGTGAGGATTTAAGGATAGAAACACACTAAGAACTATCGACATAAGTTTTGTACAATTAGAATGTGTGTTTGAAGTGTGTATCTGTATGTGTTGTGTAGGTCACACGCTACGTCCTGTCTGATCGATCTGCACTGTCTGTCTGTCTGTCTCCAAGCCCACTGTGAGTAATAACTCTGTAAAGTTATGTTCAATTTAAGTATTTTTTGACTGGTATTGTATGATCTGTTTTCTGAAATGCTATTTTTACGAATTATGAATGAATGTCCAATTTTCTGAAAAGTATTTGTGGCACCCTTAGTTCACGTGGCCCTCGCCTAAGGGTAACAATACCGCGGCTAATCTGCACGTGACCCTTGCCTAGGGGTAACAATACCATGGCTACTTGCGCGCAAGTTATGGACCTTTATGGTCGCTCGTACCAACTATGTATGTGGGTCTCTGGACCAATCTGTTCTGATAGCTAATGGGTGTACCACGTATGATCTTATGTAAAATCTGAATATGTAAATGTATATGAATCTGTTTCTGTTGAAGTCTGATTATGCTCTGATTTAAATATTGGATTCTAACTTGTGCTGGACATCATTCATATAACCCCTTTACTCTATTATTATTCACTAGGCTTCCGCTCATAGTTTATGTTATGTATGTAAATGAGCTGGCACATGACCAGGGCCAGAGTTGATGGTCTTCTGTACCGTTTTGTCAGCCAACCTTTGTGCCTCCCAAGGAGGTTCCAATCAAAGTTTAACGCTGAGGCTGTTTTGTATTTCATGCTAGTCATTGTATATGTTCTGTAAGGTCAGGTCTTGGGAAGTACAATCTGTGTATACCTTGTAAATATTGTGTATTTGGACTGGCATGTTTATATATATAAATCAGTTTTGAAATGTTCTGTCCTATGTACGTTATCACAGCTCATTGGACCTTGTCTATTTTGTATTATTGCTTTCGCAGTCCCTTATTATTTGTTAATCTGTTCAGAGGCCTTTGGTAATCCACGGATTACTGCCCGGTTACGATGCTAAACCCATAGGGGCTGGTTTGGGTCGTGACAGAAAAACTTAGGTTTATGGGCTAGAGTTAAGTTGTTTTATATACATATTCAGTTTAATTTATTTGTTTAGTGTATTAGTTCTAAAATTTTTTAACATAAAATAATTAAAATATATACAAAAAATCAAAAATTAAAAATGATCTACAGAGGTGATCAAATTAAGAAAATGACTTTAGGATTTGCAAAATGTTCAATTGGTCTAATTTCTAAAAAAATTAGTAAATATAATTAACTAATATTTAATGAGACTGTTTTAGAGGTTATACTTGGCAGGATTGAAGTCATCAAAGTTTTATTTGAGGAGTGAGTTGAATATTGGGATTACTGATACTTTATTTTTTTTAATTTTTTATTTATTCTTTAATTTTGATTGATTGAATTCTACAAAATAGATAGGGTAATTGATTTTATATAATAGATATGATATAATTGGTAAATTAAAAAATTAAAATTATGAAATTCATCACAACGAAATATATTTATATTTTATCATAAATATAATTATTATATAAAAACTAATTAATATTAAATAATTTTTTTTTATATTATAAACAAAGTTTTCGTTATAATTTAATTTTCATTCGTAGCTAGCACGGATATTACGCTAATTAACCTTATATTTGAATAAAGAATTCAGTGATAGAGACATTTTTGTATTGCCATTGCAGTCCAGTGCTATCCACGTCGCACCTGCTGTCAAAGGATTCTTTCATCTAGGCACCATGACAAAGCGATGAAAAACTAGGTCATCTTATCGGTCAGCTCTTTAATCATGTGTATTTAGGCCAAGTTTGGGATGTTCTCAAAAAGTTAAAAAGTCAAAAAGTTACTCAAAAAGTTAAAAAGTTAACACTATTCACCAAAAGTCAACAATTACGACTGCACAACTCCCAACAACAATTACGGCTGCACAACTCTCAATTCAAATTTTTCCCTACAAATCAATTTTTACAATTTTTTATTACACATTTTTCAATAAAAAGTCAAAAAGTTAACCCAAACATCCATATTTTCAACCTCAATTTTTTAGTCCAAAAAGACAAAAAGTACACTTATTTAGTCTTCCCAAACTTGGCCTTATTGTTGTGGATAATTTTTGTGTCTACACGTCTTCTACTAACGAGTTTGACTTTTCTTCAATTCTTTTAAAATTGATTTTTTTTTTTGGGGATGCACCAATAAATCCCAAATTAATAACTTATGCACTGTTTAGTCCTAAAAGTTTTCTTATAGACTGAAAGGTCCCATTACAATGTTAATAACATCAGATACAATGTTAATAACATCAGAGTCATGTTACAAACATTGGATTTCAAACATCTAATGTTCATCAAATTTCAATAATGTTTGAAAATATAGGATGAAAAACATCTAATGTTCATCAGATTTCAATAAATTTTGAAATTATAGAATGAAACATCAGATCATTTACATCATTCACATCATGTTGATGTAAAAATGGGACTAAATGGAGCATAAGAAAACTTTTAGGACTAAATGGTTCAACGTTTCAAAAACTAGGACTTATGGGTAAATTTTCCTTTTTTTTTAAATATTTCATGATAATGCGATACATCGATAGTTAAAATATTTGACGGTCAAGATCTCCACAAACTAACCAGCTCATTTATTAGGTTCGAACATTGCCTTTTCAATAAATTCAAAAAAAAAAAATGTTTCGTTTCACTTTTTTCAATTAAGTTTTTTAAAAATTGTATTTTTTTATTTTCATATTTTTTTATTTTTAGTAAATATTTTTAAAATTTAAATAATTTTTTTTAGATGCACCTTACTTAAATATATCTAAAAAGTAAAAATTTTGTGAAAAAATATTTTAAAAATTAATAAATACAAAAAATATACTGAATTCTCGTTTTTTTTAGTATTTTGTGAATTTTTAAAAGGTTTTTCTCACAAATTTTTTACTTTTTAAGTATATTTATGTTAAATATATCTAAAAATTAAAAAAATTATTTAAATATTAAAAAATTTTAGTAAAAACAAAAAAAAAACAAAAAGCAAAAGAGTAAAATTTTTTAAAAAAATTTTTTTTTTTTTGAAAAACTCTGACCAAGCAAATTTTTTAAGTCAAATTTTTTTAATATTTTAAGAAATTTTATTTAACTTTTAGACACATCTAACATAAATAGACTTAAAAAGTATAATATTTGTAAAAAAAATATTTAAAAAATACACTAAATATCAAAAAAAAAATTAAAAATACGAAAATTTAGTACATTTTTCATATTTTTGTATATTTATTAATTTTTTAAAATATTTTTCCATAAATATTTTACTATTTAGATACATCTAAGTAAGGTGCATCTAAAAAAGTAAAAAAATTGCTTAAAATTTAAAAAATATTCACTAAAAATTAAAAAAATACGAAAAATAAAAACTTAATTTTCAAAAAACTGAAACCAAACACACTGAATATTACTATAAATAAAAATCCTATTTATAGAAATATATTATATTCATTTTTACTTATATCAATAACTCAATTAAAATGTAATTATTTTCCCAAAAAAAAAAAGTTTATTATACTTAATATTTTTAATTTGATATGTATTAATTCTGCCATTTATTCTAGTAGTTTTTTCTTTGCCAAATTATCCAAGGCCTATGCTTTTCTGAATCCAATTGTGGATATTATGCCAACAGTTAAAGATTTTTGCTAAGATCTTTAATGCCAACATGGACAAATCATCGATAGAGGTGGTAAGATATTTATTTTTTTTAATGTTCAAATTAACTTATTGTTGATGTTAATTTTATGAGAAAGGCTTTGATACACACCCATAAGAAAAACTATAATTATAAATTTTCATGATATTAGTTACAAATCATTGTAATTATATGAAAATCTTTAACATCCATTAGTGTCAATTTAGCTTGAACATGCACCGTTCAAGCCTAATAAATGAGTTGCCTAATTTGTGAAGATCTTGACAGTTAAATATTTCAAGTGTTGATGTGTGTTTATAGTGAAAGATCAAAACTCATTCCTCTCAACTCCTTACCGAGACTCTGTGCACCCCCGCAGATTCGTCGAGTTTTGATCCTGACAACTCAATGCCAATCACAATATATATATATATATATATATTCATGCAGTTTGTGAAAGTGGAGATTTAAACAGCATACAAATGTATATCAGTTCAATATTACAGAACCTCAATCAGTATAACAGCATACATTCAAACCCAAAGTAAGCAAGCCCCTTCATTCTTCAATTAAACATAATCAAAATCAGTTGTCAAGCAAAACGGAGACATTCAATTGATCATAAAAATGCAATCCCTCTAAAACATCAAATAATAATAAGTAGTTCTACATTCTTTTTTTCTCATTCAAGCCATATATATCCATAACTTCCCTAATCAAACTATACCATCTAAACACACAAACATCCATACACAATATAACTATCATTAAAACTTATTTGAAAGACAACAAAAGTGTCGAATTGACATGAAACTGCTATTTGTTGATTGATTCAACCAAGCATTTAGAAATTTCAGTAGGGTATGCACAGATGCAATCTTAGACGGCAAATAAAATATTCCCAGAATTCAAGGTCAAAATGATAAAATATTTTCAACATGCCTACTTCATTCTCTTAAAATCCCAATCTAAGTTGGCATTTTACAGTGAGATCAGTAGGCCTCCAATAAAACCATCCAAATTCCGAATAATAGAGAAAAAAGCCCAGAAGGAAGTCCTTTGTTCAGTTTTTTTCATTTAACAAATGAAATTATTCTCCTTTCAATCCAAAATTATCCAATAAAAAATAAAAATAAACAATAAGAGATGGTACTGACAGGATATGAAGTTCGAACCACACTGGTGCTGGCTCAAGAAATCCTTTTGGGCTTCTAGTGAATTGAATGTAACTATCCAATAACAAATATATCAATCAAGATCAACAAGCAAACAACTACCAATGGGTCTATAACTTAAACAAAGAACAGAATACTAATCCATCAGCTACAATACAGGCCATATTTAAAATCAGAAAAAACAAAAGTTTCAAAGTATTGGCAAAGCTGTATTTTCAGGATACAAACTTAAAATGCATTAAATTAACTAATTATCGGAAATGGCTTGCCAGAGCTTTCAATAGTAGCAATCTCAGCAAGAGCCAGTGCTGTAATATTTCTGACCTCCTGATTCTCATCCTTGCAACCATGTTCAATGTTTTCTAGCAGAGCCCTCAAGCGCGGATAAATAGCACAGCCCATTGAATAAGCAATCTCCTGAACAATTTTGATGCCAATGCAACGAACTTGCCAAAGTTTATTACTCTGACACACATATTTCAAGAATGGCAGGAGTGCAGGCATACCAATTTCCATCAAGAATGGCAAGAGTGCAGGTACACCAAGTGCCGAAGCAACAACACTCAAGGTTATTGCAGTTACATTCTTCACATGCTCGTCGGCATAGCGGCTATCAATACCTGAACGCATCAAAGTAACCATAGTTTCCGGGCCAACTGCCTTGCTGATATTGTAAATGATCATTGTCCCTGCTTCACGGATCTTATAATCTTGACGAATCAACGAGGGCTGAACTAACACAAAAATTGAGCTTACATGAGGATAAACCAACGGACCAAATTCAGACAGCACACTAACAATAACCCCAACCAAAAAGTTTCTCTCCCCCTCATCTTCCCATGTGAGTTGCCTAAGCAACCGCAGAATAGGATTCATTAATGTCATGCTATCAAACTCACGAGCCTCCTGGGCGAGCACTCTCCAAGCAGTTTCCTTTTGCGGGTTTGTCCCATACTTGATATTGAACAAAAGTTTTATATATTTTCGCTCTTTCTGGCCTTGAGGAGACATATCCACATTGACATCATTAGATAATACACTAAATAATAATTCAGAATCCTCTAGCTTTATGAATGACTGCCTAACAGGCAACTCCATTAGAACAACATCAAACTGTTGATCCTTATTTTCCTCGGGAATTGCATAACCAATAGCTCCTAATGGAGTTTGGGTTGTTTCCATGTAACAATTCTCCTCCACCTCAGTCTTAACCGATATTGATTGCTTGTTACGGCCATAGATATCAAGGGATGCAAATTGTTGCTCCATCTTTTTACTCCCTCCTTGGATTTTTCCAATCTCAGAATGGTGTCGATTTTGCTTGAATTCGAACTACAATTCCTCTTCCTTCAAAACCCTAACTTTTTTTTTTTTTTCAAAAGTTTCAGTCTTTATCTCTCTTTCAGTATCAAATAGATTCACACAAAACCTAAAACACAGAAATCATAGTCTAAAAATCAATTGAAAAAAAGGAAACAAAACAATACTGCAAATTCTAAAAAGAACCCAAAAAAAAAAAAAACAATTAAAAGGAAAAACAATCCAAACAATGAAACTAGGGTTTACAAGGAAGAAGAAAGAAGGGTTTTACTGACCTGTTCTGCTTTGTTCTGTTCTTCAGCTTCGTAGGGGTGCGAATGAGAACCGAAATCTGATATAGTTTCTACTTTTTACTAGATTATTACATTGCGAAACGAAGAAGGAAACTGGTTTTGCTTCTCCTATCGATCCCTTTCTATTGAGAAAGGAGTATTCCTTTATAGGTTTGTTCGTCAAGTGAATTTATGTAATTAACTGTCCTTTTTTTCTTTTTTGGTAAATTATAATAACTCTCCTTAAATTATTGACATATTTCCATCTTGGAAAATTCTAACATAATGTATTTTTAATTATATCATTTTCTTATTTAATTATGATCAACTTTCTTTTTTAGTTATAATTCATAAATTCTTTAATTGTCTCTGTATTTGGATATAACATTTTTTTTAAAAAAAAAATTAGTTAAGACTTAAAAGGCATAAAATTATATTATTTTTTTCTTTAGTTATAAGATATATATTTTCTTCTTTAGTTATAAAGTGTATATAGTATACATTTTTTTCCATTAAATTTTGCACTCTTAAATTTCAAAATTTAACAGTTAATTACTTCAAATGAAAATGTTCATGAACATGATTCACCCGACTAACTCGGCAAAATCGATCTGCAAAAGCTGAGATTCTATGGTTTCAAATTAGTTAGCAATCGACCACGAATGTTCATGTTATAAATTTCAATTTCACAGTCAGTTTGCAAGTTTAGAGTTGGTTTGGGATGTCTTAAAAAAGTACATTTTTTGACTTATTGATGGGTTTGGGTTGGGTTTGGATTGGGTTTGATGTGATGTGTTAGAGAGGTAATGTGATTTAAATAAGATGATGTGACTAAAATAAGATAATGACTTTTTGACTTTTTAACTTATTTAATACATGTCAAACTAGTTCTTAAAATCACTCCACCCGCAACACTCGAGCCGATTGTAAAAAATAAATAATATATATATATATATATATACATAAATTTCAATTTCAAACAAAAAAAAAAAAGAGATGAAAACCAAAAAAAAAAAATTTTTTAGGTATATATATACATAAATTTCAATTTCAAACAAAAAAAAAAAAGAGATGAAAACCAAAAAAAAACAATTTTTTAGGTCAATAAAAAGAGACCCAAGCACTCCACTGGGATCTCATGCATTTTCCATTGCATTTATATCACACTTTATAACCAATGCTCCACTTTCTCTGCTTCATTTATTACTCTCTTTAAAACATCAACAATTAACCACTTCAAATGGAGATGTTCATGAACCCGGTTTATCTGACTAACCTGGTGAAAATAATCACAAAAAAAAAAACAAATCAGATTCTACAGTTTCAAATTAGTAAGCAATTGTAGGGGTGTATACGGTCCGAATTGGTTTGATTTTGAGAAAATTCAAGAACCGAATCGATTCTAACAGTTCTGTGATTTTGAGAACCAAAACAGACCATTACACTTGTAAAACCGGACCAGAACCAAACCGAAAAAACGGTTCTGTTTCGGTTTGGTTTATGATTCCAAAAATTTCTATTTATAAAAATAAATTGTTAATATTAGTAAAATAATTACTTAAACTAATTACATTTAACTCATGATAAAAATTAATAATATTGAGGCATTACTTAATATTACATATCTATACCATCCTAATATTATTAAAATTATAAAAAACCAATTAATAAAAATAAAACTTGTTATTATATATATATCTTTTAAAATTCGGTTCGGTTCGGTTCGGTTCGAACCACGGTTTTTTCATAAAATCCATTAACCGAACCGTTTTTACGGTTCTCATATTTCTTAATTCGAAACCAAACCAATTCTTAATAGAACCGAACCAAACCGTATGATTCGGTCTGATTCGGTCCGGATTACCAGTTTGAACGGATTTTTGAACAACCCTAAGCAATTGACTGTGGATGTTCATGTTATAAAATTTCAATTTCACCTGATTGTAAAAAATAAATAATTAATATATGAATTAATTGCCTAAAAGTCATATTTATAAATATTATGATAGCTCTGGTCTTATTTAAGATTTTTTTTGAACCAATAAGTACTATTTAGTAAAACTGATAACATTATCAGTTTTTTTCAATTTTTAAAACTAAGAATACTATCAATTTTGCATTGTAATATTCCAGATAATTGTTTTACTAAGTGATAAAAAAAACAGAGTATGAGATTAAACGTTTTTACCCTTCTACTTATTGGTTTGATTCAACTATCTAATAAAACCAAGAATATTAACAATTTTTTCTAGTTTTAAAACTGAGAACATTATCAGTTTTTTCATTTTTAAAGTTTTTTTTTTCAGTTTTGCACATCAATGTTCCATCATCGTGTTTCTTTATAGACACAAAATTTTCAATTTTGCACAAAAATAATTTAGTTTTTTTTATTTTTTTAATATATATATATTTGCACATAATTTTTTTTTTTTTTAGATTTTTCAATTCGAAAATTGATATTTTAAAGTTTTGAAAATCAAAATAAATATCAAATCATCATATTTCTTTTTAGATAATTATAAATGATGAACAATCATTGTTTAAAGGGTAATTCCGACTATTAAAAATTTAATGGGACTTAAAGGTCTAAAATATCTTAATTAGGAGTATAAATTCATAAATTAGGACTTGTATGTAAATGCCCCTTAATATATATATATATATATATAGGTGGTGTCTTCTTACATTTATACCTGTAGACACTCCATTTTTTACCGTCCTCAAGACTTGGACGTCACCGTTTGAACACTCGGTGATCATCCATGTTCGTGTTCGTTTTAAGTTCTCGGAGGTCTCGGCTACACGTATTGCCTCAAGATCTCTCAACTTGGTTGTTTTGTGCTTGGTCATAGACCAAACACTTGTGTTTTTGCTTCTGAGGGCAGAAAATGACTTGTTGGTCATCCCAACACCTCACCGGCCAAGGCTTGAAGCCATCGGCCCACCTTTTTATTGCCACCTGCCAAATATTTGGCCGGTCGACACTGTTTTTAGTCGACCGGCCACCTTTGTTGGTTAATCGGCCATTTTCGCTAGCCGAACCCTGTTCATCTGTTTTTGTAGATATTTTTATGCCAGCTGGAACAGCTTGCATCCACAATTGCCCCCCTTCATACACGTGTATGGAGGGATTTGTCTCTTGTTTAGCTTCTCTTGGAAGCCTTAGAAATTGGATTTCTATAAGAGGGGAGGCCTTCATCCCTTCTCAGGGGTTCTGGAATTTAGGGTTAAAGTTCATATATATCTCTCTCTCTATATATATCTCTCTCTATATATATTTGTGTGTGTATTTGTGACCAAAAGTGTGTTTTGTTCACATTTTTGCACTAAGACACCTAGTGTTACACCATCCTTGAGTTGCTGAGGTGCTAAGGAGTTGGTTTTGGAGTTCTTGGGTTGTTTTGAACTCAGAAAAAGTGTTGGAGTGTTGTTCTTGAAAAAGGTCTACAAAGGTGAGAAACTTACCCTTTTATTCCTCATTTTTGCACAAACTTTTAACCTATCTTGCATCCGTTTTTAAGCTTAGTATATAACTGAGAAAATTTCTATTTTTACTTGCTTTTGAACTTTGTTTAAGGTCATTTTGAGGTTTGGGGTTGTCTCCCCCCTCCAAGGCCTTGTTAGGCCTTGCTTTAGGCCATACCTTTTGGCCATTGTTCTTAGCTTTGCATGACCTCTCTACCACTGAAATCCAGAGGATTTTCAGTGGTGGAGAGGTGGTTTTGAGGTCCTAAATGGGAGAGGGTTGTCCCCTCTCCATGTTACCTTTGATGCTAGCATAAGTGGCTTGTGTTGTAGCTTGTATGCCTAGCTTGCTTTAGCTTAATTTCAGTAGGTATTAGGCTTTGTTTTGCCATGTTATACCTTTGTTTCAAGTTGGTTTTGACATTCCATGTATGCTTCATACACTTGTCTTGTAATCCCATGTTTTGGCCTTAACATGCATCATGTTGTAACATGTCTTTCTAGCATGATTTTGGCTTGACTCCTTGAAGTTTTTATGCATGTTTTGGCATGCTTTAGGTCTGATTTTGGTTGTTTGGGTCTTCCATGGCTTGCTTTGTATAGCTACCATGTAACCTAGCTTGTATGCTTTTAGTGTTGGCTCCTCTACCATGCTCTATTTGCATCATTTCAGTGGTTTGGCACCATTAGTTATGATATTTCAGTCCTTGTTTCATGCTCACATGCTCGCATCTTATCACTCCTTTAATGCTTTAAAAGGTTGGTGTTTTATGCTCCATGATTGTGTCATTATGTATGCCATCATGTCTAGGCATTTGGGATGCCATCTAAGTGGGTTTTTGGGCTCATTTTAGCATGTCATATCTTTGATTTTGCTCGCCTAAATCATGCCATGTTTGGTTGTCTTGGGTGTAATGTAACACCTCTTTGGTGGCCTTGTATGCCTCATGCCTTGCCCCTTTTGTTTTAACTTGTTTTAGCTTTGGCCATTGCATGTTTTAGGCTTACTTTGGCATTGATTTGGAACTGTTTTGGTCCACTTTGGTCATTTGCTTCATGTGTCACATGATCATGGTTTGAGCCTTTGGGCTAGGTTCAAGCTTTTTGTGCATGACTTGTTTGCATTATTAGGTTGATTTGGCATCATCCTTTGCATGTTTTCAGAGCATTAAAATGCTTACCATATGTCCATGCTTGTCCCTTTTAAGTGTCCTTAAAATTTCCCTTTCATGCTTAAGTGTTGGATCATTATACATGTATGTTTGTATGTGACTTTGTCCCTCATCCCTTAGCATATTGGCCGCTGATTTGGGCCTATTTGAGAGCTGCCCATATTGGTTTAAGACCATCCTTTGCATGTTGTTACATGCTTGCCTTGCATGTTGTCACATACTTGGCCCGTTTGCATGTTGTTGCATGCTATCTATGTTTGTACGTCTAGATGATAGGACTATTAACATGTTGTTTCATGTTTAAGTGATATTGCATTTGGCATGCATCTTTGATTAAGTTGCTTAACATGTTGTTACATGTCTTGCATGTTTACATGTTTAAATTGCATCTTGCATGCTTGTTAGCTTGCATACTTGTTACATACTTGCATGTTTACGTGCTTGTTCACATGCTCATATTGCATGCTTAGCTTGCATGTTTAGGTTGCATAGCATTGAGCATGTTTGCATCCCTTGCCTCTTGACCAATT